AAACTTAGCAGGGTGTGGTGGCGGGCGCCTGTAGTCCCAGCTACGTGGGAGGCTGAGGCAGAAGAATCGCTTGAACCCGGGAGGTGGAGGTTGCAGTGAGCTGAGATTGCACCACTGGTCTCCAGCCTGGGTGACACAGCAAGACTCTGTCTCAAGTAATAATAATAATAATCAGAAAACAGGCTCAGAAAAGTTAAGTCACTTGCCTGGGATCACACAGGTGGGAGGCACAATGCTGACACTTGAACCCGGAACTCTCTGATACCAAAGGCTCCCTTGAACCTGCCACAGTAGCCCAGGAGGTTGGGCGGTCTGGCCCCCTCCACTGATCCTACAAGGGGCTGGCACAAAAGAACCAATCACCTCCCCCGCATCTAACCAGCAGCCAACCAGGGAGGGAGGACACCTGGGCTCTGGGTGGGGTGCAGGGACTCACCAGCAGCATGTGAACCATAGCATCTGTGGGCTGTGGGAGGAAGGCCAGTGATGACAGCCACGCCTCCGCCTCGTCTGCCTCCACCTCCCCGGATGCGATGAGTTCCTTCATGAGGCCCACACAGTGCTCTGTCCCACAGGAAGGCAGGGCATCCAACAGTGGCTGCCTGAGATCATCAAGGTGACCCACACGTGCTGAGCGCCTGCAAGCCTCATCTCACTGAAGTCACCCGGGGGTAAACTGAGGCTCAGAGAGGTAAGGTGCAGACATTCCCATCCTCACACCTTGGGAGGGGCTGACCTGGGTCTGGGATCCCTTGAGCCTGGCTGACACCTGTGCTCTTAGCACAGCAGCAACCAGCCCAGACCCTGGCAGCTCTACCCACCCAAAAAACACAGTGGTTTGGGAAAACACAAGTCCACACCCAGTGCTCTGCTGAAATCCACCCAAGCAAGTGTCACCGAGTAGCAGTAAAAATCCCTAGCGGAACAGGAACCAACAATCAGCAAATGGTCTCTCGTTTAAACCTCAGATACTCAGCACAACATCAGGACATTTATTTTTTCCTTTTTTCTGAGACAGCGTCTCACTCTGTCACCCAGGCTGCAGTGCAGGGGTGTGATCACACCTCACTGCAGCCTCTACCTCCTGGGCTCAGGTGATCCTCCCACTCGGCCTGCCAAGGAGCTGGGACCACAGGTGTTCACCACCACCTCGAGCTAACTTTCAAATTTGTTGTGGAGATGGGGGCATTGCTTTGGTGCCCAGGCTGATCTCAAACTCCAGAGCATAGCCCTGGGCTGACCGAGTTAGTGCCTCAGAGATTCCCCTCCGAGATTAGGAGTCTCTTTACTCCCCTTACTGGCTCCAAATCACCAAGGTCTGGGTGGTGGAATCCCCGCCCTGCCCAGCACCTCCCAGCCCTGACTCTCCACCCCCGCAGGAGGGTACCCTGGGCGCATTGGAATGCTAATTCCAGCAAGAGGGTCCCTGTCTGGGGAAGGGAACAATGGCTGTCTTTATCCGCCAGGCCCTTCAGCTTCTGGTCTCACGCAGGATCAAGCTTGGGCCCCGTGGGAACCTCCAGGCTTCCCGCTTAATCTCCTTCTTGGTGCACGTTTTCGGACCGAGGACAAGTCAGTGTCGTGGGGACGGGATGAGGCATCAGCATCCATCCCTCACTGGGAACCCGGGACAGCACAAATACTCCCCACAACCAAGGGATGCCCCCAGCCAGCTCCTGGTCCATTCCCCACCCGGAGAGGGGCCTTACCCGTTGTCTCGGCATTTGAAGGAAGAATGTCGCCAGAGTTCCATCAGCTCAGCCCTGGAAAGGCCCTGGAGCTGGGACACCAGTGTCAGGAACAAGTCCATGGCCTGAGATTCAGAGGGGGCAGCATGAGACACCCAGCGGTGTAGGGGATCCCCGAAGTTCACCTCACCCGTCCCCTGCCTGCAAGCACAACTGTGGGGCAAGTAGGAAGGACCTGCTACCTTCTCCCAAGGTGTTCTAAGACCCAGTGAGATGAAGCTCCAGGTCTGGCTTCTCCCTTACTACACCCCCAGCCCCTATAAGCACACAGGCTGGCTCATTCTTCTTTAACAGGTATTTATTGAGCATCTACTATGTGCCTTGCATTGCACTCAGGATATGGCAGTGAAAGAACAGGCATAGTGTCTGAATCTGTGGCATCTAATAAAAGCCCAATAAATGCTCACTATGATTGTAATATAATTATTCTAATGAGTCTTAGCATATTTCAAATATTTACTAAGGTAGCAATCTTTTCCTATATAATATATATATATTTTTTTAAGACAGTCTCACTCTGTTGCCCAGGCTAGGGTACAGTGACACGATCTCGGCTTAATGCAACCTCCATCTCCTGGGTTCAGGTGATTCTCCTGCCTCAGCCTCCTGAGTAGCTGGGATTACAGGCACCTGTGACCATGTCTGGCTAATTTTTTGTATTTTTAGTAGAGACAAGGTTTCCCCATGTTAGCCAGGATGGTCTTCATCTCCTGACCTCATGATCTGCCCACCTCAGCCCCCCAAAGGGCTGGGATTACAGGCATGAGCCACCACGCCTGGACTATTTTTTTTTCTAAGAGACAGGGTCTCCGTCTCCCAGGATGGACTGCAGCAGCACAATCACTTCTTACTGCAGCCTCAACCTCCTGGGCTCAAGCGATCCTCCCACCTCAGCCTCCCGTGCAGCTGGGAATACAGGCACGCATCACCATGCTCAGCTAATTTTTTTGTATTTTTTATAGAGATGAGGTTTCACCTTGTTGCCCAGGCTGGTCTCAAACTCCTGGGCTCAAGTGATCCACCCACCTTGGCCTCCCCAAGTGCCAGGATTCCAGGCGTGAGCCGTCGTTCCCACCCTTTTCCACTATTTCTAATTTTTAAAAATGTAATTGTTTTATACAATTATTAACAGTGATGACTAATAAAGGGCATTATAGGGGGTGCAGAGGGCCCAAAGCTCAAGAAATAAAGGATTGCACTCAGAGAACAGCCCCTGGGTTTAGGACACATTTAGTTTGGGAAACCTTCCCTTCTGGTACCCCTGTAGTCTCAGGCTGACTGCATGGCCTGAACCCAAAGCCACAGAAAGAGCAACAAGGTAGGAGCCAAGCCAAGCCAGGTCCTGGCTTCCTGCAGGAAAGCCCCCATGCTTCCCCCAGGCTTGACCAGGGCCAGGTCTGAAGCCCCCACCCACCCAGGGTTCCTCCGAGACTGGGACCTGCTTCCCTGACCGTGGGCCTCCCTGCTGTGTGTGGCTGTGACGGAATCCCTGCACACACAGCTCGATCTCAGCAAGATACAGCCTGCAACACAGACCCTAACTCGTCACTCGGCCCACCTGCCAACGTGTCTGCCTGCCAGAGTCCAGGCAGCCTTCCCAGAATGTGCCTTCTGTGGGCAGAGCCAGTGGCAACCCTCAGCTGACTCTGTCTTTCCTTCCTCCGGCGGGACCCACGACCCAGCACCTGCTGCAGACTAACTGCCACCATCGCAGCTGGCCCTGACCACTGGTAGGCTAAAAGACTCTATTGCCCAGTTTGGGTCTGCTATCCAAAAAAATTTCAGTTCCAGTCCTGCTTCCTTCCTTCCTAATGGGCTCGGCCACATTTCCATCTGGCTGGTAGCTGCCTTTCCCCGACTGCCCTTGGCACCCTGGGTTGGGAACACGTGTGCAGAGGGGCACCTGGAGATGGTGCCTGCCCGGGACCACTCCTCCTGCTCTGGGCAAGCCTCTGGCCACAAGTGTTACCCTGAAAATGGGCCTTTCAGATCCAGGCACAACAGGAGGGATCATTAGTGGCTCATCCTGGTTTCCCTTCACTGGGAGAAGAAGAAACTCAAAAGCAGAAAAGAGGGCAGATCTAGGCAGGCTATGGATGGAGACAAAGGGTCCAAGGCTCCTGCCTAGAAATCAAGTCCGGGGCCTGGCGGTAGTTCACGCCTATAATCACAGCACTTTGCGAGGCCGAGCAGGGTGGATCACTGGAAGTCAGGAGTTTGAGACCGGCATGGCCAACCTGGTGAAACCCTGTCTCTACTAAAAATGCAAAAATTAGCCAGGCATGGTGTTGCATGCCTGTTAATCCCAGCTATTCAGGAGGCTGAGGCAAGAAAATCACTTGAACCAGGAGATGGAGTTTGTAGTTGCAGTGACCCGAGATCACGCCACTGCACTCTCCAGCCTGAGCAACAGAGCGAGATACCGTCTCAAAAAAAAAAACAGACAGACAGATGTAGTGCAATAAGAAACCTGCCACCCCCATCACCACCAATAACACATGATAATAGTAATAAGGCTGGGTGCAGTGGCTCACACCTGTAATCCTAACACTTTGGGAGGTCGAGGCAGGCGGATCACTTGCGGTCAGGAGTTCGAGACCAGCCTGGCCAACATGGTGAAACCTCATCTCTACCAAAAATACAAAACCTAACTGGGCATGGTGGCACGAGCCTGTAATTCCAGCTATTCAAGAGGCTGAGACAGGAGAATCACTTTAACTCGGGAGGCAGCAGTTACAGTGAGCCAAGATCACACCACTGCACTCCAGCCTAGGTGACAGAGCAATACTGTCTCAGAAAAAAAAAAAATTGTAATAATAAATATGTCACTAGTTACTTTGCAAGGAGCCTTTACTACGTTTCAGGCACTGGTCTAAGCTGACAGAGAAGGAAAGTGACATTCAAAAAGTGTTTGAGTCAGGGGCCGCCGGCCACATGCTACTCAATAGCAGAGCAGAGACTTGAACCCAGGGCACCAGGTCCTAAACCCACATTCTTAACCAGCATCCTATATGCAATGGCTTTAAAAAAAAAAAAAAAAAAAAAAAGTCCTGATTTGTAGCGTTTGCCAATTCCCATGGTGTAAATACACCCACCATGGTCAATTTCAGGCAACCAACATGCAATTGCTAAGGACAGACCTGGGAAGAAATGCACCTTAGCACATCATATCATATTTCCACCATACAGTTACAACAAACATGACTAACCTCTAATGGAAAGACAATAGTAAAATGTAGTAAAATAACCAGGTAGTCGTGGTTTGGAGTACTTAATACCTTTGTTTCTAATATAATTATTTTTATTTGATTTTTAAATTTTCCTTTTTTTTTTGGAGAAGAGTCTCACTCTGTTATCCAGGCTGGAGTGCAGTGGTGTGATCCCAGCTCACTGTAGCCTCAACCTCCCAGGCTCAAGCCAACCTCCTGCCTCAGCTTCCCAAGTAGCCAGGACCACAGGCATGTACCACCATGCTTGGCTTCTTTTTTGTAGAGATGGGCTCTTCCTATGTTGCCCAAGCTGGTCTCAAACCCCTGGGCTCAAGTGATCATCCATCTCAGCCTCCCAAAGTGCTGGGATTACAGGTGTGAGCCACCGTGCCCACCCTATTTACTTGTTGATACACATTAGATGCAC